TATATATAATATATATATATATATATATATATATATATATATATATATATATATATATATATTATATATATATATATTATATTTACTATATATATATATATATGATTAGTTTTTATGTATATATGATGTATATATATGTATAGTATGTCTAATAGAGATAAAGATCAAATTGTGAAGAAATGAATTATAATAGCAGACCTCGCATATAAGATAAAATTATACCTTTACTTTTCTATAATGTACAAATGCTTATTATGTAAGTTATTAGTTTTGTTTAGTTGCTATGTGTCATAGTTTTGCAGTTTGCATTGATATCTCTGCTTATGCGACATGTGTGTGTGTTTGTTGATGTACTTTTTTCCCACACATAGCAACAACTACTGATTTTAGTCTTAGTTGATTCGAGCAGTTGTGACTGGGTGGAAGAAAAAAAAAAAAATGGTTGAAAATGGTGCAAGAGAATTGATTGGAGTTTTACCGGTCAGCAAATAAATTGTTAGTAGAACTTGGGAAATCAGTGAAATGATAAAAATACAAGCCCTGATTGAAGGCAAAGAGATCAAAAAGGGAATTCATATTTGAAATAGTGTTAGAGAAATCATAATATATGGGAACGGCATCCCCCCCTCTCTCCTTTCAAAGGTAAGAGTGAAAAATAAAAAAAATAAATTGGAATGGAGATGAACAAGAGGAGAAAAGGAAGAGATGATAAAAATAGGAAGTAAGCGATACCAAGGAGATAGAAGGGACACATAGTTTATATGTCTAGTTATCATTAACATTTTACATACAAATTAGATCTAATTAGGTATTCTGCACAAGCTCACGGCAATGAGAATGGCCTGAAATTGTGTTTTTTAAAATGGTCCTAATCAAAAAAATAATCCATTTTAGACTTTTTTTTCTTAAGCATAGAGTACAGAGAATATACCGTAGAGAACAAGCAACTCTAGATAATATATTTATTTAGGACCTGTATAGTTGCCATACATTAAAGAGGATTATAACTACATATATTCATTTATCTTATAATGTGAACAAAATACAATTGTAACATTTAACTTTTTAAAATAAGAAACTAATACTTCTTAATGAAACAGTACTTTAAAATTTACTTTGGGATCGTTGTACATATAAAGAAAAAATACTCTGAATATACAGTTGCCAATGTTTTGGCAATATATTTAGCCCTCCGAAATCATAACCAGCTCTTCCTGCTTTCAGCCTAGTAGAGCTTTGTTTACGCACTAAGCGCCAATTATTATTTGAGTAATTAAACTTTACTCATTTTTCTTTTTAAATTAGGTAAAATTGCCAGTGGTATCAATCACGATTTTCTTGCAAATAGGGGGGAAGGGGTGCCTGTAGGTGTAGTGTCTTGCTGACTTCAGCCTCCCTCTTCGTTGCACCCTGAAATCTATATTGTGATTTTGTGCCATTAATGAGCTTGTAACGAGGGAAAGAAGCCCAATGTTCTCACCAGTTGAATGCACCAACGATGTTAATTCTAACAATTTTGTATTACAGGTAATTAGTTATTTTATTAGCTGTTCTACATGCTCGAAAAACCTTATTTTTAAACTTAAAATAATTATTCAAAAACAGTCAGTTCAGTATGAATAATTTTTCCTAGTAAATCTAAAATTATTAGTATTTCAGTAGCTTTGAATGTGCACAAATATGCAAATTTACAGGTTTTTTACAAGTTTTTTCTAGTGTAATTTTTTTCCGTTTCTTTTTTCAAACATATTCTAGAGGGAGGTCTGAACTAAAATTATTACCCAGATATTTTCTGCCTCCGCTTCTGATTTGATTAACATAAATAATTTAATATGTAAAATTATCTGCAATTTCTACAACAATCAAATACAAATAACAGCACATTTTATGCTAAAAAAATTATATACTTAATACATACCATTAAATGTTTTTCAAAATCTGCTCTTTCGCAGGATTCTTTTTCAAGCAACTATCCACAAAGTCCCTTAAAGAGAATCTGTAAAAATCTGCAGGCGCTTTGGGGAGGTGGTTATTTCTACTATATAGTCCAAGAAGTTCAAATATAAATGAGCTTCGGCATGGGCGTTGTCCCGCTGGACCAGTTTAGAGGCTCCTTGATTTGGTAATTCTATCCATACAAATATAGGTTTCGTGTTAGTATAGATGATTAATAAGTTTTTAAACATTTTTATATATGATAATTAATAATAATATTAATAGTATTTTTAAAAAATACAATGCAAACCAAAAACTTAGTGTTCGTTTACAATTTGGAACACAGAATAGATAATATGTGATAGGATACACAGGATGGATCATATGAAACAATAGAAAAATATGAAAATTGGTTCAAAGAAAGAAGTCGACACGATGTAACGACTGTGAATGTTGTGGATGGTGTGGACCATGTTGGTGCGATAATCGACGTAATGCCTCATAAGGCATTTTTGGAAGCTGTGGAACTTGTATAGCTACATATGCTTTGGAACATGAAACTATTTAAATACTGGTATTAAAATACACTAGAAACAATTTGGTGTGTCATTAACGTACATTGCAACTCACTTATACCTTGCTCTTCATGTGCATATTTCCCATTTTCCCCAGTGCTCCTATATTCTATCAAAAAAAGTTATGCCAAACTCATATTTTTTTTTAAATATCCAATTGAGGATTCAAAATTTTTACATGAGATATCCTTAAGTAAGAAGTTATTTTCATATTCCATCAGATCAGGAATATATTTGCTAAATAACTCTTTTTTATGCTACAACTTAATGTACATTGAATGAATATTTATGACCATCTGATCTATAACTTTTCTCTCATTCCATAAATTGCCTCTTTGGTTTTATATTTCTTTTACATCACACATGACAATGACAAACAGATTGATGGTAAAAATCATTTTTGGCATGAACGTATTGCAATGTAAAACATATTTACAGTAAAACTGTCTAGTGGTTTCTCTATAGAAAGAAACCTGGCCGTTTCAAACAAAAATCTCAGAAAAAACGATTTTATACATGAAAATGGCTCAATAAACGTCTAACGTGGAAATAAAGTTCTTTGTAGAGGAAGTACGGTGATTATTACCTGCTAAGAAGGAATTTATTTTTAAATTCTCAGCATAAACAATGCCGGATTTTTTAACCTTTTTTTGCTATTTTCTTGGTGAAGCTGACATTTTTCGAGGCAATCTTCAAATTTCTATTCAGCGCCAAAAAAAAAAACATATGGAAGAGGTAAAACTGAACGCGGATATGGAACGAGAGCGGTCCTAAAGTCATCTAATTTGTTTAAATTTAATATATTTGCCTGTTTTGTCAAGTATCAGCTCACTCAAACACTATACGGCGTCAGCCCTGGCCTCTAACCACCTTTTGCTATTTTTTCACGTCAGTGCCGACTGCGCAGTAACTTGACTTTCAGTCAGAATATTCCAAAGCACTTCTTTCAATTTCTATATGAATGCTTCATTCTTTTCTTGCTTCTTTCATTTCACAATCAAACAAAGTTGCGTCATGTCTACTTAAAGTACTTCTGTTCTTAACAACTTTGAGTTTTTGTTGTTGTTTGATCCACTACTATCTGTGGCCATACTCACACACTTGAAACATTTGTATTAGTTGAGCTTAGATTTTATCTTGATTGGCTGAATACAGAAAGGTTTAATTTGTTTTGTTGTGGCATTATACACAGCTTCTGGCTGCTATTGACATCTCAACCATTGCTATTAGGTTTTAAATACGGTAATTACAAACATTCAGGTATTTTCATCATTTCATATATTTCAAGTGGGTAATAATTTAAAAAGATTTTTTGGTATTTACATGAAGTGGAGACTGGGGCGAGAGCATAATGGTGATCTGAGGCTGAGATCCAAAAATGGAGCGAGTGTCTTCCGGCATCAGGTGGAGGGATGGGGTACATTCCCAATGGCCATTTCAACAGTGAAGACCAGAGACCAATGTCCACTTTCTGGAAACAGAGTAATGAGTCTTGTAATCTTCAGGTGAAAACAAATAAGAAAAAATAATGATAGAAAATATTTCTTATCCAATTCTAATATACGATTAAAAACATTACAAAATAATACTTACGGACATGTAACTTTAGTACCAACAAAAGAATTTGCATGGAATGCTATTAGCTGACAGACACTGCAAAATGCAACATATTTTTAATTTCCCTGCACTATTTTACCAAATATTGCTTGGTTTAACATCCTATGCATATGGCATGTTTTATCCCCAAGTAGCTCAGCCCTTTCAGCCCCTTCACAAAAAACACCTTTATTACTCCGTACATCACAAGAGACAAGTCAAATATACAACTATTATTAATTTTGTCAACCATCAATAAAGCGTACATACACATTGTTAATTTCAGTTAATGGCTCATTTTTTACTTTCAAACAAAAAAAGTCTGCTTAAATATACGAAATTGCAGTAATGAATTAACAGCTGAAATAGATATCACAATCTAGTGATGTGTTATGAAGATGATGATGCCATAATAACAGAGCGTAAACTATATTAAGAGGACAACAACACTAATCGAGTAAAATGCTCAATAATATCCATCTACAATTTTGGACGAGGATATCACTCTCACTTCCATGCAGTCAGGGATTCCTGAACACAAAAAGTGTTTCGTCTGATCAGTGATCATTTTCGGATCAATCTGGCTTAAGGCCTTGGTGAATTTGAAATGTTTTTGAATTTTGGAGGCCACTTCATATAAAGCTCACATTACATTTTTCAATAATATTATCAAAACAGACTGCCCCCGCCCACCACACCACACCACACATACACAAGACAGCAGCCATCTATTTATATAAACATTTTTTTGGATAGGAATTCTGTTTATCAAAGAACTTAAGTCCAAATTTTGTATGACATGAAAAATATTTAAAAAATGTTGCATGATTTGTACATGAGTAAAATCAAAATAGATATTCTTTGGTGTTTTTAAATCTCATACATTTCAATAAATAAATTTATATGTATAAAATCAACTGAATTGCAGTCGTGCAAAATTCAGAATTTTTCACGTAGATTATAAAAATAACTATTTGTTAGTTACTCTACAAAATATTTTATTTTTACATGTACGTTACATGATATAATTGTTTGTTTTGTTGTTGAACTTGTACCTCAATATTGAATAATGCTTACTGTGTGTCCCTAACAGAATCATGAATGGGTTCGAAGAGCAGAATCTGAAAATGTTGATATTGCCGGTTGGGTTTGCAAAACAATGGATCTGGTACCCCCCACCACACCTACTAGAGCTGCACCCAACTTCTAAATGTGTCTGCTGTACTGACTCCAATATGATGGCTGAGGCTAGCTGAACAATGGAGCAAGTCTTCTACTTCACATGTTACTTCGTTCCCTGTGCATTTCTGAGCGATTGAGAAAAAAAATGTGTGTTTGCATTTTTGAAAGGGAGAAAGTGAGAGAGATTAGAATGTGTATGAATGGGAAGAGTGCACATTGATGTGTATATCTGTTATGTCACTGTTAAGTGTATTGAAGAATTAAGTGCAAGTTTCAAATTTTTTATTGCCTGTTTACCACTTTCTTGCAAGTTGCATCTTTTGCAAAATCAACTTGCACCCATACCAAGGAAAATTACAGTACTTTTATATACATTTAAAGCTTAGAATAGGTAATAATCAGCAAAATGTTGTAGATATTAGAGATTTTTCTTCATGGGTAAAGGTGTATTGAAGGAATATCAGTGACCAAGGATAGGGGTGCCTTTTCATATTATTAGTGAATATTAAAAGAATACATAAATCCATCTGCTGTTGTGATTGTTAGCACATCTGTGCTCTGTTTCCTAGTTAGTGTGTTCATTATATGTGCAACCAGAGAAGAGATACAACAGCATTAAAATATAGATATTAAAAGAATTTTATTCATCTTCACATGTGAAGTTTTGTTTTTACTAGTAATATCTTATTTATTTTATGTATGCTGCATTGGAAATGTGCTTACAAAGAAGGCGGCAGTGACACAAGTCTGATAACATTTTTTTAAAAATTTTTGTTTAAAATGTGAATGTTGCATTGATTTGAGTTTTGAAATGTTTTTGTACAGGTAATCATTTTAACAGAATTGTTATTGGATATTCCAGTTATTGCTTGATTGCAAAGTTGGCCATGGTATTGTGAATAAAAGTTCACTGAATAGTACTTCTGTGAAGCATTAGTAGTTACTGAAAATTTTTTGATTCATAGATACCAAAAATGGTTTTCTTGAGAGCAGTAAAATAAAACCTTTATGTGTAAAGCCTCATCTTAATTCTAAACATTTAATTGCTTTTCTAAGGTATTGTTGAATATGCTATAGGTACTGATGTCATATTTGATATTCTTGTATTATTTTCAATGTCAATATTGGATGTGTATAAAACTGCAAAAGATAGTTCTTAATATTATCCATATTCTGATTCCTGAACCTGGAAGTTGGAGGATTCAGTAACCTGGCCAATGATTTGAAATTAAAAATAATTATTATAAAATAAAGCTAAATGTGGTTTGCATTTGACTTCCACAGTACTTTTACAATATCAATGCCTTATGCTGGATTGAAACCAGCAACCCTTCGGTCCTTGCGGTATGGCTACCTGGTCAGCACTTCTCTGCAGGGGAGGTTTCCTGGACACGTGAGCTGTAGCTGGAAGCTACTCATTCAGAGTTGTATTGGGTTGCAATTGACCAAAGATGTGTCCTGTATGTGGATGTTTCCAGATTTACATATATGTGTGTTACATACACACACATTTATATACACACACATGTACATACATAAATATATACATACATTCTGAAGGTATGTGTGTGTGTGTACATGCGCACGTGCGCAATTATTATTTTTATTCCTGAATTTCATTGTATGCTTATATGTATTAAAAGAAGCTGGGTTGATAAATGCTACAGTGTTTTTTAAACTGGTTTCTGATACATAATACTTCAGAAAACATTCAGTGTTACTATGTCTAACTTAATGTCAAAAGACAGGACATTATTCTAAGCTAGACGTGGTGACAGTAGTCTTGACCTGCATGTCTTTAATGATATTTTTGACTGTAGGAGCAGTATTAAGTAACATTTTATTAACATTAATATAAAAATGTCTATGTATGCCATTGTTGTTGAAGTTTTTCTTTACAGTTGTTCATACTGTCAAAAACATTGTTCAGAGCTATTGACAAGGAATAAAATTGGAAGTTTTGTTGGATTTTATTTTGTACTTAATGGATAAGATAGATTGTTGCCATGACCATTTTTGAAGAATTGTTTAACATCATTATAGCCATAATATGTCCTGTTTCATTCACGTCATCCCCTTCCAGCCCTTTGTATAAGGGGCAGTCCATATATTATGTAACACAAATTTGGAGTATTTTCAATACCCCCTCTCCCCCTTGTAATGCACACTTGAATCCCCCCCTAAGTAATTATATAATGCTTGCAACCCCCCACCCTAAGTAATTACATAACGCTTGTGACCCCCCCTCTAAGTAATTACATAACGCTTGCACCCCCCTTCTTGTAAATGCAAGAAGTGAAAATAAATTACAGCACAGTAAAACAATTTATATTATTTTTCTTGTGTTACATATGAAAGTAATTAATGCAAATTTTGTAGAAATGAGTTGGCGATGCTGGCTGCACCTAACAATAAGATTGGGCCAAGTTGTGGGTGAAGGACAAATGTTTGGGTGAGAAATGGTTGATCACAAGCTATGCACATGCCATCATGGATGATCCTAGAGTGAGAGTCTTCAGCGCCAATTTAAATGGATTCTATAATACGCTTCATATTGGTTTTTAATATTTTCTTTGTAATCTTACAGCCTCAACAAAAAAAAGTTGAAAAATATTTCCATTTATTGTAACAATTCACAACTAATAACTTTGGTTTATTTATGTTTTTAAAAGAAATTAATTAGTTTATATTTTAATGTTTTAGTACAGGACAAAAAAAGGAACTTTTTCAGCCAATGTTTTTTTTTTTTATTCAATGTTATGTAACACTTCACTAATATCCTCCTACCCCTCTGTAATGCAGTGTAAGACTGCCTTAGATCCCCTTCCCCCCCTCTAGCGCGCATAATTTATGGCCGACCCCTAATTATTACCTATTATTAATTGGAGCATATACCATCCCAACCCACATAAACTACATCAAGGCCTGCCATGAAATGATATACTATCTAACAAATCGTTGATTCTGACTAAACAATATGATGTAGGAAGTAATGTACTACAAATGGGAACAAGGTGAATCAACATTTTCTATATAAGAGCCCCACGAAACGAGTTTTTCTACTTAAAAATCGCCCATTTTTGCCGCAGCATTACGTAAAATTCTCTATAATACGTTTATTACTTTTACTTCCTCGTTAACGTAGTGTAGGGGAAGTTAGTGCCAAAAGTATTGGAACACCTTGAAAATATGAGAATATTAATAAATTTTACCTAGAAAAAGTAATATAAATGACAAATTTTCAGCGGAATTAAATTATACATAGCAAATTTGCTTCAATAAAAGCAATTTCGATACAAGAAATTACAACCCACATATATTAGCAAATATCATAAAAAAAAGAAGCCAATAGTATTGGAACACGCAAGCACTGAAACGGCTTCCCTGGAAGTCACGCGGCCACAGACGCAGCCGTCTGTGGATTGACCTTCACCTTGCCAGTCGGGACTCACCTGTCAACCCTTAGCTCTAACGGTTTGTGAACTAATTTTTCCTGGTATTCACTAGCCGGTGATTCAGAAGTGTACAATACTGAAATATTTGTTAATCAAATGTCACTTTGTGGCGTAAAGAAAAAGAAACAAGTGAAAAAGAGAAAAATATAATTCGCTTTCGTAAGTAATGCAGATATTTGAGAGAAATTGGAAAGATTACACTTAGGAGTTGAATGTAAATAAATGGTACGATGTTCAGAAAACAGTGACAAACAAATGCAGAAATGGACAGTTGCTGAATGAACGTAATACACACACACACACACACACACAAAAATTGCGACATTTATGTATATCCAATACATAAAGAGTTCCAAAACTTGCTTCTGGACCATACAATGTACATCAATATTGTGCAAAGTAAACTACACAAAAGTACTGAAAAATTGACTTCAAAGACAATTTCATTTTTCAACAGGACAATGATCCAAAACACAGGGTTTGAAACACAAAAATGTGGATCCTTTCTAATACACCACGAAATCTGGATACGCCACTACAATCTCCAGACATTAATTCCATTAAGTATTTCCTATTCTTGGAGAAAAAATAGGAAGAAACCGATTTTGTATACAAATTTTCGTAAGCACGCATTGTAGAAGGAATGGAACAGTACCTATAACGGCAATGCTCGTAAAATTAATGCCAAGGCGTTTAGGAAATATTATGAATGTCAAAGAACATTCACCAAATATTACTTTGCCTACAGTTACATTTCTATTTATTTTTTAACCACTGATCATGTGTCTGTTCCAATACTTTTGGCTATCTTCTTTCGCGACCTAATGTTGGTAAACTTCGTTTTAAAATTTCCAGTGAGTTATGTTTTTGTTTTCTGATATCAATTATAAAATATACACCGTTTTCAATGCAACCTAAAAGGGTTAATTTGTGTGTAATTTGCATCCGAAATTTATTAATTTTTTGAAATTTCCTAGGTGTTCCAATACTATTGACACTCACTGCTGCGGAAAATCGATTTCGAGACTTCAGCGGAAATATACGTTTTGGGGTCCCCTAATTCCGAAATGTTTTTTTTTCCTCCCCCTTTCTTTCTTTCCAAAACGTCTGACTGCCAATCCGTCTGCCCATGTCTGTCCGTCTCTGAGTATGTCTAAGGCCCGCAATAGACTATACCGAGGAATGTATTTCCAGAAATGTGGAAAATCGAAACAAGGGACCCTTATCGACCCACACACACTTGAAAGAGTTTTCTCGTTCGCCTCTGCAGAGGTAAAAAGAGTTCCTCGATCGAGTCGGTCAGCGACCGAATTTTCTCGGACACATTTCTACTCCTTCATTTGTTATGTGACATTTAGGCGTTCACTAACCCAGGGAAACACTAAACAGTGCCTAGAAACGAGAGAAGTTATAATATTTGCCAGTAAAAGATGTGATAAACATCCAGTTTTTTGAATTGCTTACTTGCATTTTTTATTTAAACGGAAATGAATTAGGAAAAAATTTCGTGGAAAATATTATTTCTTCTAAGAAAGTAATATGTAATGAGCACTATAAAAGTAAAGATTTGAAGCAAGAAACTTGAAAGGGTATTTTGCAAGAAGTGAATAAATATTTTTTTCTTTATTCACATTTATTTACAAATTAATTAATTAATTGTGAATTTTATTATGAATTATTTGATCATTCACCATTTATTCATAATTCAATCAACAAATATAGTTAAACAGACGGGGTAGAGCTGAAGAAAATTTGCACCGACATAGATTGTACTCCTTCCCTACACGTCACATACAGTTACTTTTTTTACATTAAATAATAATTTATATACAGTGCAGTAATGTATTTCTCTTTAGGCAATTCGATAGGCGATTATGGTAATGAACTAAAGATTTCACGGGTAAAAATTACTCAAGAGCATTTAATAAAACAAGAAATGGGACAACAGATCTCATAGATAACTGCTGTGACCACTTTCGGCTTGTGACACATAAAAGCATTTCGAGTCATCGAATGACATTTTTAGTGTGTGGATGCAGCCTCACCGGCTTCGTTGATTGCTGGCAACACATCTCGAGTGTCTGTTGCCGGCCTTACAAACGCGGCACTTCTCAGATCCTTACGGGAACTAGCGAACGGAGGAATGTGATACGAGGTATTGCAAACTCATGTTGATGGTAATACTAAACAATACTAAAATTATATATCTTTGTGCTGTTTGCTTAAAATAAATCGTGTAGAGATTACTTCGAATTGACCCTAAAATAGGCGTGCGAGAAATCTACCTAGTTAGCAACAATAATTCATTTTCCCGTATAAAATACATTTATTATTCATTATTTCTGATATTTACTATATTTTCATGTGTTAATAGAGAACTATAATGCATGTAATGCTTTTAAACTTTTTAAAGACAATGGGTGAAAACGAAAAAATAGCAAAGAAGTACTTTATCGGTTTTTATACCATTTAGTTTTACTTTGCCGTATACGTACGTATATTCGTGGTATAGGGAAAGTCATGTAATGCTGCGCAAAATCGATTTCGAGATTTCACCGGAAATACACGTTTTAGGATCCCCTGATAATCGAAATAGTGTTTTTTCCTCCCAAATCGTCTGCTTGTCCGTCCGTCTATCTGGTGTATGTGAACAACACTAGCGCCAAAACCATGCGAAGGATTTTTTTTTTTTTTCAAAATGAAGAATCCTCTGTCCATTTGACCTGAGTCGAAGCTCTGCAATTTTGAAAATCATTCATTAGTGTTTGGAGGGTACTTTACATGAATCCCTGGGTCATTTTCAATTTTTTTTTTTCAAAAATAACTTCAAGTTTTTTCTTTAAATTCCGTATAAGAATAGAGTAAAACGATTTTATAAATGGCATAGGTGCAATTTTCACGGTTAACTCAGAATTTTCGAAAATTTCAAAAGTTTGAATTTTATTCAAAGTCTTCCTCCAACAACAAAATTAAAGATAGAGATTTTTCTTCAAATAAATTTGTTGTGCATAATTTGTTCTTTCATTAAGTTAATGTAATCCTTCAGTGTGTGTTAATGAATTATAATTAAAAAACATTGTTCATATTCTAATTTTACTTCCTGAACAACTACAGTAATACAGTTAAACAATGAGAAAGGATTTTAAGAACATCCCATTGCCTCCAAATGCCTCTCAAATTACTTTTACAGACTGACACCGCCTCAAACGTGGCGCGGGAAATTTGAATTTTCTGTTTCAATTGTGTCCTAGTTACACAAAAAAATACTCATATTTTCGAAAAATTAAACAATCTTATCTGTTAAATTTGTTTGAAAAATTAAACAATATGTTTGATGAATACATTTCACTAAGAAAAAAGTGCACGGCATCTTCACAATTATGACTGTAGGAAGACACCAAAAACTATTTTTTTTTCAATTTTCGGAAAATCTGGGATTTCAACGAACCATGCACCACTCTCTTAAACGTTCTATATTCTATCTATGATCAAAATTTAATAAAAAAATTGGTGCCGTTTTTAAGAAAGTATGGTTTAAATAAAATGTTTATAATACACAAAATAACGCAAAAAATACTCAACTTTTCGAAAAAGTCAACATGACATTATTTGGAGATCTGTTTTTGATGAACATTTGTTATAAAATGATATTCATAATTGTAGTCGTAGAAAAAAATGAATTTTTGAAATTTTCGAAAAATCGCGGTTTTTAATGAAGTTGAGACCTTCACTATTCTCTTAAACATCCAACAACAAAATTTAATTTAAAAAATTGGAGCCATTGTTTTAAAACAAAAATAAAAATGTCCCATGGGCATCTTGTAAAGTACCCCATAATATTAAAATATCGGTTTGAACACAACCCAGATCGATTGGGAATATCATGGGAGAAAATTGGCTGAACGGTTTAGCCGCTACCTTTGTTCACAGCAGACTGACTGACAGACATTTTTCCGATGGTGGGGGTATGAAAAACTTTGGCAATCGGACACAGTAATCTTCAGCGATATCTTGCGATTAAGTAAGGAACTTTTTAAAGCATTTTTCCGGGCAATGGCCACCAAGCTTTTGTGTCAACTCTATCTATACTTATACACTCTAAAACATAGGTGGCCTTTTATCACCCATACTTTCTGCTCTTAAAATCACTTATACTCTTAAAATATAGTGCCTTAGCGTTTAGAGTGAATGCCGACTCACATGACGTTTGTCACACTCGACCAGGAATAGATGGCGTTGATCAAGTGCGTTTATTGGCCGAGAAAAAAAGCTGTGATAAGTTCGTTCTTTCACTGCGTGATGGCGCTGAAGGTAAGTGTGTCCGAATTGCTGCCGACGTTTATCGTATTACATCCCATTAGCATGCCTCCAACACATGAGTTAACTCTCGTTTTTACAATTTTCCTGCACGTCATCTTGGCATATCTCTGACCTGATGAAAATTCAGTGTATTTATGCAATGCCCTCTGGATTAATCTCTAGTATTTCCAGAAGGCGCTGATTTATGACAGCTTCTGTCGCATTCTACTGTCGCCCTGTCAACAGGCTCTGCAACTGGAGCTAATTATGGTAGTGATAACTTGTAGTACTGCATAAAAGCGGAGACTGTTTTGATAGCTATATAATGTTATCTCTTAATTTCAATGAAAATTGCTTAAGATTTTTGATTGTTGACCACGGATTTCCATTCACGCAAGATGCTCTATCTATGCCATCGCACGCCAGATTACCGCGACAGTTGCTTCGTCGCAGGATCCATATGGTCGGATTGTGAATTCGTGACAACATAGGAACTCATCTGACTGATTAGAAGGCTGTGGTCAGACTGTGGTCTCTGGGTGCAGAAATAAACATGGCCGATAGTGAATCCGACACTAGTCCGCAGAATGATCAAAGTGGAAGTTTGCCGTCTGGACCGCGAGTGGTGACGATTTATAAAACAGAAACAGGATTTGGTTTTAACGTGAGAGGACAAGTTAGTGAAGGAGGGCAGCTGCGAAGTATTAATGGAGAGTTATATGCACCACTGCAACATGTCAGTGCTGTACTGGAGGGAGGAGCGGCAGAAAAGGCTGGAATTAGAAAAGGCGATAGAATTTTGGAAGTGTAAGTGTATTTGTTATTGTTTTCATTTTATTTTAAGGAGTTCGAAAATGCCATACAGATGACATGTCCATTTTCATTGTATTGTAATTCAATTGTGAACATGCAGGATGGTCACATAAACAACAATCTTATTTGCAGTTTTCCATGTCATAATCTCTCTAACTGCTAAATGCAACCAGTGCTTGGTGGTAGTTTAGAATGAGACATAGTTTGTGATCATTACGTGAATGTTACGCTCTGTAACTGACGGACTTGCTTAACTTTCTAGAAGTGTTTTGTTTACAGTGATAGTAGATCATTCCCGATCATTTTTACTTAGTTAATGTGCATATTGTTGGACAATTGTTCGTGGACATGAATGAAGACAAACGTTGATTCTGATGGTTCATGATTTTGTGAAGGCCGCGTTACGCTACCCTATTTTTTATGGGGTTGTGCTCGAGGTTCCAATTTTAAGACCTGAAGTGTGCAGAACTTACGAATTTTGTGAAGAAGATAATGACATGATTTGATTATGATAGAATCATGTATTTTACTGCGCTGTAGAAAATACATCCGCGTAGAAGGTCCTGAAATGTCCACGTAAAGAAAATGTTACTTTTTTGACAATTTCGATCTATTGTCAAGATATTGCAACCGCCAATGTAATAATTCAGGTATTTGACGAGTGTGATGAGATATGTAAATGTGAATTAAATTTGAGCTATAATTTCTTCACCTTGTAATTTGAGTATACTCATTAATCCACCAAACCGCTCATCGTACGTCAATGCAATACGGCGAATCTCGGAGGAGTGGGGTGACCGAAACACCTGACGCTCAAAAAATTGAGTTACGACAGAGGGAGAAGTTTCGCTCACTTGCGCCGGCCGAATTCGTTACCTGAAACGTTAACCCAAACCTGTTCAGTTATTCTTATGCAAATGTTTTCGAACGACCTTGAATTTCAGTGTTGTAATACTATCAGCATTAACTTGAAAAATGTTTCAGAAATTAGAATTGGAAATTGGAGTTAAAAAATTAGATTATTTTAAATAGATGCTGTAGAAAATATCAATCATGAAAAAGACGAACTTTATTTGAGGAATTTTTTGAAAGAGGAAAGATGGATGTTTTTTGCAATGCGCATTTAATAAATCTAATTTTTAAAAAAATGTAAATCACAGAAAATGTTATTTCATCTGTTTTTACTGACAGTGAATTCTTGGTAATGCTAACTACTGAGAAACAAATCAAAAAGAATGCTAAGGAAAAGAAAGGTTTTCAACCTATTGTGAATATGACATGTCACTGAAATTATGAATTTATTTTACTTTTTTCAGCAACCTGCCTGAAGCAACCTTCTGCAGCATCCTTTACCAGAACATATTCACCCTTTTTGATTTGGATGATTTAGAACAAAGATTTCTTTATGAAATAAAAGATTGTCAAAAACGGTGTTACTATCTTGTGCGATTTAGGATTTTTGTTGGTCAGTTTAATATTTAAGAAAAACTTATACCAGATTAAAGTGAAGTTACTCTTACATCCCAAAATATATTTTATATTGATTTGTCGCATAGTTTCTATGACTTGGCTACAAGAAGTGGGTAGTTTATTTATTTATGTATTTAACATAAAAAAACAGTTACCTACTATGTGGGACATTTATGGGGAGAAGTTCAATCTGTGCATGGTTTTTTGAGCTCTGGGATTTATACATATTAAGTGGAATTCGGAATACATGTAGCAACAACAGTTTTTGGCAAAAATTGAAATGGTGAAAATAATTGCTCATAAAATTCTCATGTTTCATTCCATTTGTGGCAATTTGTTCCTGCCGAATTGCCATATTCCATATGGATATTCAGGCCTTTGTTAGATTAGCCTAATTTTTTTTTAACTTCTTTTCTTACTTCTTTCCTCTCTCTTCATGTATTGCAGCATTTTAAATTAACCAGTATGATAGTAGTATGCCAATGTAATACACAGAAGAATTGTTAGTCGTACATTACACTTATGTTGTAACTTCGGTTTAGTTTTGAAATGAAAATGGCTTGATACTTTTAAATTTATTTAATCATTGACAATTATTAAAATAATCTATGTTGGCAGCGTATTCATAAACTCATTATATTGATTTGACTGTGTTGTTCATTGACAGTGATTTAATTTTTTATGCGTCTAAAAACCTGTTTGAAACAGTCTTCTATATTTAGTAAATTTATTTTCAATAAAAGTTGAAGGTATGAATTTTATTGAATGATTATCAATCAGCAGTAGTCTCATTTATTCTTGAAATTCTTTTTTGTATAATAATAATAATGATGTGATTACGAAACCATCCTTTTCATTCTTTTTCTTTGAAATATTTTCAGTGTCTTCCCATAATATTTATTTTCTTTTGCAATTTTTGAAAGCACTCATAAATTATTTATTAGCGAAAGTTTCTTCAACCAAAAAGATGGAAAATTAAGATTTAGGAAAATAAGCACAAAAAATGGCAAATTGTACTGTGCTTTGTGACAGTTTCTGTAAGCTATACCGTTCTAGAATTGTGTATACAAAATGGGATACCTGTTTTGATAGTTTATGCAAGAAAACTTCTCTTAAAGTACTGTTGTACCAACAATTGAGTGAGCTGTAGCAACTGAATTCCAAAATACTCAAATCTAACCTTTCACATATACCAGATGTAATAATAAATAATGTAGTAACTAGAGTCCGGAAGTTAGGCATTTATTTTACCTAAAACATAGGCAAAAGGGCATTTATTGTTACTAAAATAGGTATCCAAAAATAGGCATTTACTCAAGCCAAAGTAGGGAATAAAAGTACAGGAAACTGAAAAATCGCCATTTAAAACTAATTATTGTAACAAATTATTAATGAAAATGATTCAGTTTTATTATAACACTAAAATTTTAACTTACCTGGAAGGAAACAACTTCTTCCTTGTAATTTTGGTTGGACAAGGTTCATCCGGTATGACAACTATGAATTTATTTTACTCGCATTACAATGAAATGCTGTTGTGGAACTCCCTTTTTAATCTTGAAATGGTAAGAGTGAAAACAATTAAATTTTGTTCTTCGAACTTTGGTAATTGTCTGAAGGGAAAAGAGAACAAGAAGGAACTGAGAAGGGTATATCATGTGAAGACAGATCTATCCTCTAAAAGGGATCCAAGACCATATACAAACATAGGAAGCCAGTTCTCATGTGCGAACAAGTCTGTCAGCATCAATGAACAATACCAAAAATCTTCAATATCATCTTCCTTTTAATTTTAGATTTTTGACACAACTGATACTGGAGCCTCCGCTTCTGCAGAAAGACAATACATAACTTCATATTCTTCAGGCTTGCGGGTTTAGGGATTGCTGCCAGGAGTAGAAAAAGGGACAATAATGACGAAAATGGCACAAATAAGGCAAAATGCCAAAAATACACACTCACAAAAAAAGGCAAAATGTAAATTTACTAACAACTCCAGAAAAACTGTTAAGTGATTCCTATTGATAAGTCATGAAATCATAAAATAATAAAAAAAGCATTTTGCCAAACTTCTGGATTGTAGTAGTAACATTGTATTGATTCGTAATAATGTTGGCTAAAAGCCACAACAGGTGTAATAATGTAGCAATTGGCAAACTTGGTAACGCTGTGGGGTATGGAGGGTGTATAACATGGGCAAATGCCAATACAAAAGTAATGCTTCATAATAATAATAATAATAATAATAATAATAATAATAATAATAATAATAATAATAATAATAATAATATTAATAATATTAGTTATAATACAACTACAAATGAATATTAACAGTTGGCAAAAAATAAAAATAATTTACTATTAACAATTTCTATTCTTTTTTTTTTTCCGACCTTTATTAGCTAATTTAGATGTTCAATAGTTCTTATACACAATAAATTTTGTTTTTCTTTGAAGAGAAGCTTTGACTTTTTTTTGTTACATGTATTTCCTGCTGGTATTTCCGCGTTCCTTATTGGAGAAATTTCTCCAAGTAGTACAAGAATAAAATTTGGAATTCATATTTATTTTTTAGTCTCAATTACATGCCCAGCTGTACTTTCTTCCAGTCTTATCCATTATGTTAAGTTTTTCATTATGGCTTCTGGTGCATCTATTCTGTAATGCTCCCCTCTACTTTCACCTTTCACCACACACTCACCGATTCCATATTTTATAAGGGGCTCAATTAACGAGAAGCATATGAATTTGAAAATTGTATGGGACACAAAATATTGTGTTCTTGTAAGTTTCCAATGGCAATTTTTTTTAATATTTTTGCTTACTTCCGAAATATCTTCTCTCCAGCTCAAATTTTGATCAAAATCACACCTAGGTATTTCAATTTACTTTCAGAACTATTGCCCTTTCTTGATCTCTGTTGCTGGAGATTAACATTTTGTCATGAGCATATACGTTATTGGTGACTAACACATTTTGGACACATTCCCAATTTCAAAACAGTCAAAAAAGAAAGTTCATGTAAACATGGGTCAGAAAATAGTTTGTTAGTAAATAATTTGCTTCCTTATTGCCACCAGTAATTATTGGTAAATTATAATTAATTGAATTAAATTGTTACCAATTGATTGTTTTATTGTAGAAGCATAAGGAAGGCAAAATGAAATGTATTCTGTGAGTGAAGAGACTGATATACTTTACATTTATGGCCTTGCAGATGGGAGTGTATAACAAGCACATGTAATTTATGCAGAAAGATACCCTGACAGGTAGTTACTGTGTTCATGAACATTGTTTCAAATTCACCAATGCTTGAGAGCTTCACCAATTCGTTTGAGGAGTGTTGTGGATGCTGGGAGACCTAGAGAAATACAAAGCCATTAGTGTGAAGAATGAGTTATTTATAATGATAAGAAAACTCATCCGGTAGCACAAGTCCCATTACATTAAGGGGAGGAGTTACTGACGTGACTATTTCAAGAATTTTTCATGAAAATCCTTTGTGTCCATATCACCTTATAAAATGGATGCAAGGTTTAAATGTGGTGGACTTTCAGTAAAGGAGAACTCCTGTAACTGCATATAACAAAAGTGTGCTATATTAATTTAATTAATTTCTTACCATTTACCTTCTTCATTGATGAGGCTGCGTATACTCATGACGGTACCTTAAATTTTTTATAATAATCATAACTGTGCCTATGAAAGCTCTCATGCGCTTAATAGTGCTCCTTTCAGTCTGCTAGTTTGCAATTTCTAAAATTATGAATTTCCATTTAGATAGATTGGTCAAGGGGGATTTATTGAATGGCCTGCTTGATCTCCTTACATTTGAATCCAATTTATTTCTTCTGGAAACGTTTAAAATCTCTGGTTTATGTAACTTCTGTTCCTGATATTGACATTCTGAGAGAGCATATTCATATTGACCAAATACGAACCACTCCAGGGTATTTTAACAGAGTATACAATTGCAAGGAATGCAGGCTTAGGGCATACATTGAAGCAGAAGGAAGCCACTTTGAACAGTTATTGTAATATTCAGTATCTTGAAGCTGTAATAAATGATTTTCATGCCCATGTTCATATAAACTTCTTTTACTACTGATGTTAAAAGTGCATCTATGCAAAAGTGTTGTTATTCACCTGTGTAATAAAAATTAATCCTTAGATAATTCCTTATCATTTACAAATATTAATATTGGACGTAAGAAATGTGGAATTCCCCTAACAACAATTTTTCTCTCAATATAGGACTCTGTAGAACTCTATTTCGACCTTGAAGCTGCAACAATTTTCCTCTTACTCCTATTCTTTATAATGCATCTTACCTTTTTCTGTGGTTTATTATATCACATGCTTTTGACAAATGAATATTTAAGGCCATCCTTCACATGTTATTCTTTGAACAATTTTTTATTTATTAATTCATCTAAATTTTCTAATAATTCTGTGGTACCTTCATTTTTCGATAAGCAAATATATCTATTTTTATTTGATATTTTCGTAGAAATAGGATAATTATTTAGGTTTGTATTTTTCAACTACTTTAGTGTATAGTTTTCATAAATTTTGAGAATATCCCCTAAATGGATTGGTCTCATTATTATCGATTCTTTTAGTTTTTGTAGAAAATGCCCTAATGCTAAATTTAATAATTTTCTTAATTATAGGTGGTATTGAGCTGTTCTGCTTTATTTCCTTCATTATAATCTTATCTATTCATGGAGTTTTGTTACTATCCATTCCTTTGATTAATGAGTTAGTTTCCTCCAACATAATTTCTGTCAGGAAGAATGAGTGATGTTAATTCTACATAGCATGTAAAATTGTTAAATAACATTTGTGTACATTTTTTTTGGTTTGCTGCTGAAATGTATTTGCAGTTTTCTACAACTTTTCTATAGTGTTGTTACTACCTGGGTTTTGTAATTTTATTTAATGATGTTTTTCTGATGCATCTATCAATTTATTTGTTTTCTAAATGTTTTTAATGTCATATCTATTATTTTCAAATAATTTCCTAAAATATTCCTTCTTTTGCCTACAAATTGTGTTGTTTTATTTGTTTTTATATTTGTTGTATTTGTGTCTGAGTTCTGTCTTTTTGTATTTGTGTCTGAATCTTTTAATTCCTAATTTTTTATCTCAGGTCCTCTTCCATCTTTTAAAGCCGTTATCTCTATATTTAATAAGACTGTTAATTTCAGAATTTATTTCACTTTATTTTAATGTATTCTTATGTTTGATTCCTTTGAGACTATTGACCTGATTTTTTTTTATAGTATTACACATTTCGTTAGCTGATTCGTTTTCAAAATTAATTTCATATCTTCAGTAGTTTATTTTGAAGTTTCCTTTTAGAGATGAATTAATATTTTTTAGTGATTCATCTAATTTTTAAATTTATAATATTATAAAAGCTTTCAGTAAAATGGCAATCTGTTATTTTACTTTCAAGTAAGTATGGAATAAGGCTTTTTAGATTTCTTCTTACTGGTGTGTAATCTATACATGAATTCACTAATTTATTTTCGTATTTCTACCATAGCCAAAATTTAATGCAATATTCCAACTGGTGTCTTAATACGGTACCTACATAATCATAATTGTTGCAAATGTGTGTTACAATCACCAATAAAGATTTTATTGAAATTTGTGTGAGTGTTTTATGAAGTTTATGTAGAAAAAGAGGCTTGATTTTTCTCAAGTGGTCGATATATTGCAAAAAATACTCATATATTGTTTCCTTATTTAAATATCCTGTTAGTACCTTTAAATAAACATACCATAACCACACCAATAATAATAATAGTAATAATAATAATAATAATAATAATAATAATAATAATAATAATAATAATAATAATAATAATTAATAATTACAATGATGACGCTGATGGTTATGATGACTACAGTGGTTATGATGACTACGGTGGTTATGATGTCTACAGTGCAGATTACGATGACTGGGTGACGGTTGGGATGACGACTGGGGTTGATTTTTTCGTGCAAATCAGTCCTTTAGTATGACAAAGTATTTACTTCATGATTTGAGTAAATTACATATTCTCTTTTCTTCAAATTCTCATATCAGTTACATCTGCCGTTATTCTTAAACACAACTTGATTAAGACATTGCAGAATTGTATACTAATACGTCTTTTGGATGTTTTATCATTTTGAAACTAGTATAGAAAAGAGATAACAGATTATTAGTTTTTGTATAGATGAGGTAAGATGCAAGGATTTGAGAGTCCATTTTTATAAAGCTACTTGTGCTTTTGGGCGTAGTTAAATGTCACATTGAGCATCAGTACAGCATTTTAATTTTAGTTGATTTAAACAAAATGTAACGAACCTAAAATGGTGCAGCAGGCAACATATATTCTTATTACAATGTAATACATCTATTAGAACCTGGAAGACACCAAAACCACTCTTAAGTTTCTTATGTATGTTGGTCAAGGTTCATCTGCTAGTAGTCAGGGTGAATACCCAAATATTCATATGAAAATTTGTATAATAAGGATTATTACCATATTTCATAAATTGTAAACTTTTATAAAGTAGAACAGGTCCAATTTTCATAAATATATTAGAATGCTTGAAAATACAAAATGACTACCTTTTGCATAAGTTGAATTAAAACTTAAGTAATTTTCAAACTTTTCTCAAAAACAGCTCAGATTTTTTTCAGGAAATTTTCTTCTCGTATGTATCAAGGAAAGGCAAAGAAAGATGGGTTGGCCTTATTTTCGGTTCTTTGAATACTTTTTCGCTACGGAGTAGAGAGAAAGTTATGTAAAGCTGCATAAAAAACGGCGAATTTTCGGCAGAAAAACCTATTACATGGCCCTGATAAAGAAAATGTGAATAAATCCAGATGCTAAATTTTTAAAAAAATCTCTAACACATGGTGTAGCTAGAATTCATGTTTTGTGGGTCCTGATACCGAAAAGTTTAATAAAAGCAAAACGTCTGTCCGTCCGTCTGTCCGTCTGTCCGTCTGTAAACGCTAGCGGCTAAACTGTGTAGCCGATTTTGTCCAAAATTGATATTCTTCAAACGATCTTGTTGATGTTACTGCTCCTTGACCGATATTTTAATTTTTGGACGTACTTTACATAAAGCTCCTGGGACATTTTCAAAAATATGGCTGCGTTGTTTTTTTATTAAATTTTGGTGTTAGATAGCGGGAATAAAAGTTAAAAGAATGGTGCAGATCTGTTCGTTGAAAACTGATTTTTCGAAAATTGCATAATTTCAAATTTTCGGCGTGTTCCTAAAGCTACAATTATGTAAATAGAGATTTTTCCTTTAATGAAATTGTCCCTTAAACATAGATTTTGAAATAAGATAATGTACAAATTTTCGAAAATTTGAGTACTTTTCGCATAATTTTTAAAGTACGTGCTGTTTTACCACTACTAGTTTTCTAACATTGAAAGAAAAAAATGCATAAATATTACATTGAGTAGAGATATTTGGAATTTGTTTTAAAAACACGTCATGTACATTTTTTTCTTTAAATGTTTTCCTCGTATGTTGCAAAGAACGATGAATACCGTGGTGTTGCTCCTATTGTCGGCGAACTGTATTTTTGAAGAATGCAAACAAATTAACATTGCAAAAGTAGAACATTGATAGACATTTTTTTGTTAAATGAAATATTTTAAAAAAAGTTCTTTAAAAATATATTCCACATTTAAAAAGATATGGGCAGTTCAGAGTAATTTCGCAAAATTTACAAATTCGAATTTCCTACACCTTACTAGAATATTTCAAGAGTTATCAGGTTGCACTACAATAATGGGAATGTCGCAACACAGCTGTTTGAAATTATCAGAATATCTTCCCATTTTAAGCGATGTTTCCGAGTGTATGGAACGTAGTTTTGGATTGTCGAATGTTTTGAAATATTAGCTTTTAATGAATTAAATTTTTGCCAAAAAAGCGTTTTGCAATTAAAGCCGAGATGTGTGAATATGGACTGTAATCGCGGAGTTGTGAAAGGAAAAGAATGGAGTCGTTTAATTAAGCTGAAACTAACTAGACAGAAGATACTCTGACCAACCATCAAACTGCCGATTTGAAGGGATCTTAAGCCGATCTGAAGTGTGTTTAGAGTATGCTAAAAGTAAAAAAAAGAAGGTACTTTAGGGAGTTCAATACAAAATAATGTGTAAAAATGGCATCTTCATTTGAAGATAATAAAATGGTTAACATTTTTGAAGCAATATATTTGCCTAATTCGACATTAAGTACAAGAATGAATGATGTGGTTGGTCCCAAAACTGGGTTAGTAGGTCTGTGTAAAGAAAAGGCATAAGCAGTTTTTCAATTGTTATCCACTAAGAGGTTAGCTGCAGAAAAAATAAAAGGTTCAGTGAGACAAAGAAAACTGCTGCAAATTCTGTAATTTTAACAAAGCCTAGAGAAAAAAAATTATTGCATTCCTGGACAAATTGGAAGTTCGGTATGGTGACTATTTGGCTGTCCGGGAGACACCGCGTTTTGAGGACAGATGCCAATGTTTCGGACGCCATTGTTCGAGCTTCCTCAGGGCGAAATGGCGCAGGAAGGTCTCAGAATGACAGCTGATACGTTGAGATTTGTACTTATAGTAGTATTTATTTAGAGCTGCGTTTGAAGTAAATCACCCGTTGATGGTTTCATTCAATCGGGAGCTTATGTCACTTTGGAGGTATTCAAGCTCCTGATTGGATGAAACAGTCAACAGCATATTTACTTCAAACGCGATCAGGCCTGCTCTTCCTTCTGACCATACAAATTTCTTTACGCTCCTTTCACCATGTAGCGCAGAAATAGATTAACACTTGGGCGATTTAAATTTAGCTCAGGACCTTAGTTAGGCTTGATCGTTTACAGGCAGTAAATATACATGGACCAACCGGCTTTACTTCTCCGAACGAAAGCGTACGAAGGAATTTTTCGCCCTTAAAAACGGGACAGGTTTTTAGGTTGGGGAATGAAACTCTTGTTTTTCTTCAGTGGTGTAAGATGACTTTATCAAGGAATTCTGATGGGATGTGTGGGTCCCGTAAGTACAGTGCTCCATTGGTCAGTAGATAATTCAGGTTTGCGAATAAAATGCCATACTTCTAAGGTAACTCATGAAACAATTCAAAATATGAAAACATTACTTTTGAAAGTTGTGCGCGCGTGCGCGTGTGTGTGTTTTGATGGGTGCACGCGCGCGCGAGTGTGTGGTTACCATGCGAGCGGGATGTGTTCAAAATGTCCACATTGTATGCGCATCATCCAAGACGATGTTATTGACTGACATACAACATTGTCCGCTGTTTTAAGCGCGGGAAAACAATACATTGTTTTGGAAAACTTCTCCCTAAACAGACTTCGTTTTAACGAGATCAACTGTCCGTCTCTCTTCGCCCACTTCCGTATCAGTCACGTCACACTCAAACAAGGGCCGGACGTGAGCAGAGGTTGGCGCTCTGGGCTGTCTTAGCTAGCAATCTCAGAAAACAAACAGCATTTATCAAATTACTCATGACTTATCTGTTCCGTTTTAGTTCCGTTATGCGCTTGAACAAGAAATTTATACTGCTTACTTAAACAAAGTTCTATTTGCTCAGTCATCCCAAACAAGAGAAGTTCTTTCGGGTTTACTATATAATTGAAAGAATTTCGCTGTCATTCATCACCTTTATATGTTGTCTTCATATCCGTTAGTGTTGTGTGCGTTCCTTTCTTTAGAAAATATGAGGACCAACACAATTTATTAACGTTTTCAACCTCAGAGCCATGCCATTGAATAAATGCTCTCGTTAAAATATTGAGTAAAAGTTTTCCTTGTTTTGAAAGAGAGGGGTAGTTTAGGACACCGTCTTCAATGTTTTTTTAATTTTTTTTTCTTTACAAGTTATTGAAGAGAATGGAATCTTAAGAAGTTTTTCGATAGAACACTCGTAGACTGTTACTGACGGCAGCGCCACGGCCATTTTCCAACACTCGTGCCCGCTGAAATCTTGGCATTCATGATTTTCTACGTCACATCCAGATTCGCTATTCCCCGTCTGCACTATGCAGTTCAACAGCGTGAATGTCTAAACACCCAGCCACATTTTTGCCTAATACACCTTCAATATTTTGTTCACAAACTAATAAAATTACGCATTGAGGTGGTAAACCCACAAAAAACGGAGCAGTATGAGTATGTGGCCGCAATAGTTTCCGCGCTAGCCTAATTCGAAGATCGCATATCGGGGCTCGCGAGTAATTACGAAACTCTCTCAGCTGCTGGGATCGGGTCGTACAGTCAGGGGGGGGGGACTTTATTAATCGGAATTCTTGTGAATTTAATGCAATTGGAGTGATACGTGAGATATCGTTAACGGAATGAATACATCTGCAAAGTCAGTTTTAATTTCTCTGGCCCTGTGACACGCGATTTATACTTGAGTTTTTATTTCTTGGCACGTGAGGGCCTTTCTTCACGATGAAATATCTCACAGCATTTCGCGTCTTTTTCACGGTCGTGCCGCTAGATGCAGCATGATTGCCAACACTGCTCGATACGGTCGCGATCATGCGCCATCTAGCGGCTCGACAGAGAAAGACGCGATATGCGGTGAGATATTCCATCGTGAAGACAGGCCCTCACGCGTCAAGAAATGAAAATCCAAATGAAGTTGTTGCAGATGCACAGTGAAGGAGAGGAGCTTCAGCTGTCAGAGTAAAATTCGAGCTTGGGGTAGCTCGTGTCTTACAGCATATGCTTTAGGGGAATCCCCTTCCTCCCGGCTGTCTGAGCGTATATTTAAAAAAAATACTATGCTTGTAACAAATAATGTGCTTAGCTTCTGGATCAATGACCCTCATCTCGATCAGGTTTTGTCCAGTTTCCCTGATACATTGAGCAAACGCTGAGGCGGCCCCTCGTGCTTCTGGACGTAAATGTAGCTTCACTATGTGGTAGGCACAAGGGAGAGTTACTATTTTGTTAGCAATGCAGAAAAATAAAATGTACAGTTTGTTGTACAAAATGTACATTGTGTACATTGCAAATAAGTTTTATACAACTCGGGAACAAAAATGTATAGTTTTTTAAAATTTTGCTAATCTTACTCTTTTTTAATTTTATTTTTATTTATCTTTATATTTAACTTTTACTAATCTTTCAACTTTATATATTTCAACAATCAAGGGATTCTAGAACTCTAGAAAACGTGCGCAATCTCTCCCTCCATATGTCACATAATTTTTAATGTGTTTTTTGACTAAATCTAAATCTATTACTCGCGCAACTTTTCTTGAACGATGTATTGAAGAAATGTGGGTAGAGTGGGGCTATTAGTTACGAAATCAGCCACTAGATTTTATGAAGCAATGCCAATCTCTGAAGAATCAGTCATGCCTTCGCAACGTTCTCACTAATTTGTGTTCGAACTTTTTAAGGAGGATCCATCGAGGTATCTCCTCAGATGGATATTCACATGCTTCGGTCATTTCTTTAGATTTTTGTAAGAAAATCACGGACAAAAGTCATCTTCAACAGAAAATAGTTTCTGTTTCGCGCCAGTGAAGATGTTAGAGGGAAGCTACGTGCTTAGACGGAAGAGCGCCTAATGGCCTTAGCCTTGCCACTAATAAAGACAACTTTATTATTATTATTATTATTATTATTATTATTATTATTATTATTATTATTATTGTTTATTATTTATTATGTGTTTGGAATGTCATCAGTGTTCGCTGCGAGCGTTTGCTTTCGATTTTTTATTGTGCCAGAGAAGAAGCAAGGTCGTCGTTCAAAAAAGTTGCGAGATTATATAAAAAAAACAACCTATTCACGCGACGTAACCTCTCAGCCAGAGACTCATTATTTCAGGCCATGCGAGGATATCAGAAAGACAATGCTTGGGCTATGACGCATTGTGTGTTTAAAGTCAGTAAGCAGTGAGATTGCAGCCTCTAGCTAGTGAGTGTGTATGTGTGAATTTTTGTTGGTCACAACCCGTTTAACAATGATTGGCAAAATACAACTTTAACCTTAGATGAAAAGGTCAAACTTCTAGAAGTTGTCAATAAAGAATGTTAAATATTTTATGGGTGATATCTTCCATAAATACATTATGTTAATGTAATTTTATAATTATAATAAAATCTTGTAATTTGCTAGTTTTAGACGGAAATATTAATATCACTAAAGACATAAAATGGACAATAGAAACCTCCTTTACCTGTTTTTTTGTTCCGATTTATTCCGGTTTAGACAGATTTTACTGTAGTAGGTTTTCTGAACATATGCGATTCGGTGTTTTTTCCCTGCATTTACGATTTTCCCATCATTGTTATTTTTCTTTAGGAAGCGATAAATGGGGTCCAATTGATTTTGACATAGAAAGGAAAAAGTATAGATTTTTTTTATCTTGATGCCATAAAGGACGAAAAATCGTGCGTGCGTTTTGCCGTGTGCGTGATCTATTCGTTTCGAATATATTAATTAAGCTCGCTACTTGGCGATTTAGCCAGACTATTACATTGGCCGGTATTTTGTCATGAACTGCTATCCGTGGCAGCTCAACCGCAAGTGTGGTAGAAAGATAGTACTGTTTCATTTCTTGCAGCAAATGTATCTCCACACACACCACACGACGCACACCACGCACATCACACCACACCACGCGACGCACATCTCACTCACCACACCACGCGACGCACACCACACCCTCCCTCACGAATGTGGAAAGATCTTGCAAGTTAACTTATAGACAGGGCAGATTATTGTAGTAACCTGTAGGTGAAAGATCTGAGGCTAGACCAAAACATATGACAATGATACAATTAGACCAAATCTTGAATTTGGATTAATGCTGAAAACAGTATACATTATTATAAAATATAGTTCACACTGCTGTAGCAATGGATTTTTCAGTTCAGAGTAGCCAGAAGGATAGTTAAATTACAATGAATGATTATTGTATTATTTCCCCTTAAATTAAAATAATGGTTACTGACTGGAATTTTTGAAATTTTTAAATTTCATATTTTATCTTCCACTAGATTAAAAAAAATACATTTTAAAATATGTGGGGCTAATGCTTGTATGAATGATGTAATATCTTTGTTTATTTCATTGTTCAAATTTGTATATTATGTCAGCATAAAAGCCAGAGTATGTACATGTTCCTGGCAAATTTTAGCACTGTCCCTTATTTGTTGCTGACTCCTCCTGCTTTTGCTTCAGCAATGGGGTGAATGTGGAAGGAGCCACTCACAAGCAGGTGGTGGATCTCATAAAGTCTGGTGGGGACGTCCTCACACTCACAGTCATCTCTGTCACCCAGCAGGTACGTAGCCGTTAGAAGTGAATTTTTCTGTTTATAACAATGATATTCAGCTTTTATTTATTTAGAACATTTGCAAGCTTAAATAACTACAGAAGAGAGACAGTCTAAAGAAGTTTAAGAAGGGCAGAAATATGAAGTTTGATGATGAAACTTGAAGTAATGTACATCTGTTTAAGGGGTGGTTGAATGGATGCAATCTTATAATTGAAAACAATTCTGATTAGTTTTCAAAACACATTTCTGAATATTTTTTGGTTTTATTAAACATTTAAATAGATTTGATGTCTTTTTGGACAAATTGAAGGGTTAACAAAATATTATTTTTGTGTTCTGGTCTTTGACCAATTTTTTTATTACGACTTTTACTGAATTTCACCTTTTACTACAGATTTTGAAATTAATGAATACAATATGTAATAAAATAATTTGAAACAGTGTTTTGACATGTTCTGTGCAAAAAGAATACCATACATTTTTAAGGGATAAAATATTTTTTTTAACTAGAAAGGAATATTCAATTGAAGTGAATTGTACTTGATTTATTTTACTTCTGTATTAAATTGTGTTGTTTGTTAGGTTCACATCTAAAAACTTGCATATTTGTTTTTCTCCTGTTTGCACGGGGTATGCATGGAGGATCCCATGTTGAGTTATGCTTGTCTTATTTCTCTACCTGTTTTTATCTGTCATGAAATTTCAATATTTGGGCAATTTCACATACAATAATTTTTGCAGGAAGCTGAACGTTTAGAGCCAAGTGAAGATCCTGCTGGTTACACATACATAGACTACAGCGAAAAACGGTCACTACCTATATCTGTTCCAGATTATCATTATTTGGAAAAGAGTGGTGAACGTTATGTGGTGAGTGTTGTTGTTGTTGTTTGGTGATGTATTTATTGAAAGTCTTCTCAGAGAATCTTTTGCATTTTATAATTTATAAAATTTGCTTTTTCTAGTCTTGGTAGAGCCTCTAGATTTGCAATATATACTGGAATTCCTCTGTTTCAGGTATTTAATATTTATATGGCTGGAAGACATTTATGCTCTCGGAGGTATAGAGAATTTTCTAATCTTCATTTAAATCTGAAGAAAGAATTTATTGGCTTTAGTTTTCCTAAACTTCCTGGCAAATGGCCTTTTACGTGAGTTGTAGTTTTGAACAAATTCATTTATTGCCCTTCTTACATTATTTTTTTATAAGAAAATAATTTGTTGCCGTTCTTACGTGATTGTGTATTTGGTTGTCTTGATGTGAAATTGTTCTCTTGTGTAGGTTGAGTGAACAACAACTTGATGCTAGACGAAGAGGTTTGGAACAGTACCTGGAAAAAGTTTGTGCTGTGAGAGTTATTGCAGAAAGTGATATTATGCAAGAATTTTTGACAGATGCTGATGATGAACAGGTAAAAATGAAATTCAAGTAGCATTGTCTTTATTATTAATCAATATTTATTCATAAACTGTGCATTTGTCCTTCAACTATTATCCAGTTTCTCATCTTTTTAGGGTAATATATCTCCAGTAGACCTCAAAATTCTTCTTCCTGATAGGGAAGTAGTAACTGTTTCTGTCAGAAAGAATTCTAATACAGAAGAAGTGTATGCAGCAGTTATTGATAAAATTCACATGAATAAAAAGACATCAAAGTATTTTTATCTTTTTGAAATCGTTGAATATAATTTTGGTGAGTTTTCAATTTTTTCTTGCAATGCTGAAGATATTATATTTTAAAACCTTTTCTTTGATTACATACACTTTATTTTGTATCCTATGAAATATTTTGTTCTTCCTATTCATCCTGTACACCTTTGCGCATTTTCAATGAAATTACTTTCAGAATATTTTAGTATTGTTATTTACTTTAGGCAAAGCCATATTTCATCCTAGGCAAACTAGCCTGCTAGGGGCCCAACCTCAAAGGGGGGGGGGGGTAGCAGATGATGCTAATAAATTACAATAGGATTCCAATAAATTTTTTGAGCAAAGAGGTATTTTAGTTCGTAAGTATTGAAAAGCAATTATTTATGTACTTTTCTAGATAAAATGATTTTTAATTATATTAATTTAATCCAGATATGTGTGGGTCACTGGAATATGGTAGTTACAAAACAGTTACATAACAAATAATAATCACTTGTTCCAAACATTTAGAGATGAAGCAGAGTAGGGCGTGGAGGAAACGTGTCTCCCCAAATGTCTGCAATCAACAGAATTGCAGATTTGCAAATTTGCACTCTTTGAGTGCTGTCTAATCTCCTTGGCAATTTGAACACCATTTGATATGAACTGACACCACCCACGGGTTGACCAGCTGACCGACGAAAGTTGTCTATGCATGGGTGCTTCTCTCACACTTATGAATCGGAATCACAAGTGGCAAAACAGAAACCAATAAACAGGTTGGAGAAATGAGTTGGATAATCAGAGAAGCATCAGATGGCTGCAAGTCAAAGAATACAGTAGAGGGAACAAAACCAATCCAAAGTCCACTGCAGGTCAGACAATTTTGCTGTTTATTTATAGGAAGGGTCAGGGAAATGGAATAACTGGCACAATCATGTGTGAACAGACAAAAACAAGATATAATACTAATAAATTGTTTAAGTTAGAAGTGAATTTTAAAGTGTTAGAAGCACTCAAAGATCAACATTTTTGGCCCCAATGAGTAATAATTTTCCCATTTCAATTTTGCATTCACCCCAGCAAATTCCCTCAGAAAACGTCCCATAACAAAACAACACGGTACTAATAGGATACAATAACACCTTGCTAAAAGTGGGGACATTGAACTTGAGGGGATTAACCTCCAAAGAAATGAAATTAAACATGGAATTAAGGAAAACAAAGCTAGTAGACATTAATGTCATCTCTAAAACAAAAAAGGAAAACAGAATCTAAAGAACTAAAAGATCATATTCTTTATTTTGGAATAGAGGAAGAAGAACATGCTGCAGCAGGAGGAGCTTTAATCGTAAATAAGAAATGGAAAGATTTCATTGATGAATATAACTGAATCTGACTCTTTCCACTAAGATGTACAAGTAGTAGACCAAGTAAGTAAAGATGAGCTCCTCTTTATGACTTTAATGCCAGAGTTGGTAATAATGAAAAATTCCTCCATGCAATGGCCCAGAAGGGGGAAAAACAATAAATGAAAATGGTGTAAATGCAACGTAACTTTGGCCTGTTCAACAACTTAAGAAAAACATTTCTTCAAGCATAAGGAAAACCACAAATTCACTTGAGAAACAAGAGGAACAAGATCCATCCTAGACTATGTAATAATCAAAAAAAACTTATTAAAGTTTGTCAAGAGAAATAGATACAGACCACTATTTGGTAGTGAACAAAATTAAACTCTCAGAACAACAAACATAAACTAAGGAAAATAATAATAAATCACCTCCTAAGTTTACGGTATTCCTTCTAGAAGATGAAAGGACCAAACCTTTATTTGAAAGAAGACTGAAAGATAAATTACAGAAGGTAGAGAAACAATATTGAGACATTTGGGAGTTAACTTTAACAAACAGTGATTGAAGCAGGAAAAGGGACTATAAACCGTTGAAGAAAACTAAATGGTTGTGAATGTGGGACAATGATTTAATAGAGATGATAAAGCAAAAGAAGAAAGCATTCAGAACATACCTCCAAAAACAAACAGTGATGAACTACTTGGAATATAAAAGTATGGGCCTAAGTGGGATGCCTCAGTCAAATACACAGGAGAGAAGTCAGGGAAAATTTGTTAAAAGCAGAGAGAGATGTCTCAGTCCTCAAGGAATGGGATTCAAAGTTTTGAAACAGCTGCACTGGAATGTCAAAGAAAAAAATGAAACTAGATTATTACAGTAAGAAACTGGACATACTAGATGATGAACAGTAGAAAACTGGATAAAACACTTCTACTGTGAAACAATCAACTTGCGGATCTAATGAAGCGCTAGAAGGAACAAACCACTTTACTGACAGTGATGAACTAGATACCCCACTGAATATAGATAACCTTGAGACGGAAATAAGAAAAGCAAAAAATTGGAAAAGCCTCTTACCAGTTGAAGTCAATATAGAAATCATAAGATGTGGACAAAAGGAGTTGAAAGAAATGTTGTTAGACATTTTTAACAAAGTATGGTAAGAGAAAACAATTCCAATTGAATGGCAAGAGGGTGTGGTTATTAATATTTTCAAGAAAGGCTCTAAGATCTGTGACAATTAATGGGCCATTACATTGCTGTCAACATCATCTAAGCTAGTATATGCAATCATGCTGAAGAAAAGACTCAAAGAAATATGTGAGAATTTCACAGGAGAAGAGCAATGTGGATTCTTAAAGGATAGAAGAGTAAACTATTATTTTCATTGTGTATTACAGAGCGTTAAAGTCTGCGCAGGGGTTGACTCCCCACTCCATCATCCTCCATTGAGAGGGAGTTTTCTATTTTGAGCCATGAAAATATGAAGCCTATAGTATTTTACAAAAAATGTAATATAAATACTTAAATTTAGAACACTCATCGTGTTTAATAAATATTTATTTTATATTATGTTAAACATCATTTTTTTGGGGGGTTCAGTTACGAAAAAGGAAGGGCCCTGGAATCCTAATATTGTTTACCTAGGAAACATGTGTCTTCCCTGTTCTGGCCGGCCCTGTTTTTATGGTGGCAGCATCAGTTGATTGAATGTAGTGTGCATAATTCTAATACATATAACAATAATTTAATATTTTTGAGTTACACAGAATAAGAATAATTAGTTTATTGTAATGTATTTATGTACTTATAATATATTAAGTATAGTAATAAAACGCCTTATTTTGTGAATTTCTTCTTAAACACAATTACAGCAATTTATAAAAAAGTTTATTTCAATTGTTAACTACTCCATTGCTAAAAGAGGATTTCCCCATCCGTATGTTACTCCTGTCATTTTGTGATATCTATAACTTTCTTTATTATAATAATAATAATAATAATAATAATAATAATAATAATAATAATAATAATAATAATAATAATAATTAATAATAATTTGAAGAGTTTTGGTGGAATTACAAACTAGCTCTTTTTTGCATTTTATCCTGTAATATTATTTTTAATTTAAAACACATCTGATCTCTGTAATATGTTGTTTCAGAGCGGAAACTACAACCTTCTGAATATCCTCATAATTTGTATATACAAAACTACAGCACTGCAACTTCAACATGTTTGTGTATTCGGAAATGGTTATTTTCCTTGCCACGGGAACTGAGTTTAGTTACTGATGATGTGGCAACAACATACATATTTTGGCAAGCTGTAGATGATGTGAATCGTGGACATATCCGAGCTGATGACAGATTGTATCAGTTGAAAGCTCTGCAAGATTCCTCAAGAAAACATGAGGTAATGAAATTCATTTATTTCTTTTCAAAATTAAAATTTTTTGAAAAATGTATGAATTATGTGAAGATAAATTGTTTGCTGTACTTCCCCTGAATTTCATCAGTCCATCAAGCATCATCGTCATAGCTGTTGTAATTTTTCTTTGATTCTTCTTCCTTTTCTTATTGATTTTTACCTTCCAAACTTCCATTTTTTATAGTAATACAAATGAAGATGTTACAGACTGTCATAAACATAAGATTTTTCTTGATGACAATACATGGTCCTAGAAACAATATGTATTGAAATTATGAAGGCATTTGAAATGGTATTTGAATGACAGTATTTGAAAATGGACAAAGTGTGGGTCATTTTGCCATGATTCAGGAAGTCATATTGGCAGTAAATTTATTTGACTTTGTTTTTCTGAACCATTTCGTTAGATGTGTCACACTGAAGTGAAGTGCCTCTTGCTAAATGCTATGAGACGAACAAGACTAGCTCTCTGAAAATGCAGACATCTCAAGCTCTTTGTGCATCGTTACATTTGTTTCATGAGATTTAAGAATGTGCATCTTTTAGATTGTATACAAGGAAAATGCATCAGATTATTCTTTAACATTTGCATTTAGTAGCTAGCAAGAAGCTTCTTCTTTCATATGTCCAAACCAAATAGTTAGTATGGCTGGTAAGTGGGTAACTAATTCCTTATTACGAGGAAATTAAGAAATGTCTACATCCAGACTGAGATGGAATTTAACTTGTGTGTGTGCTGGCATCATATCAAACTTGCTCATACCTTTTTTAAAAATTGTGGCAATCAATTATTGGATATTTCTGTTGAGCTAAAGATTTAATTAACTTGTGTGTGGCCGGTGCTGGTGTCGCGTCAGCCAGATCACACCTGTTTTCTCAATGAAGTGGGAATAAATTAGGAATTGTGGTTATTAATTAGCTGCAAATTATTAGACAGTTTTTATTGAAATGTGCTGACGTGGCTTCTACAGTTTCACACAGCTGATCTTCAAAAATCCCCTTTATAATTTAGTAGTCCTACAAAAAGAGATATACATACCCTCCTGGACTAAGTAAGGGCTTATCCCTGTGAATCAATTGAAGTGTATAATAATGCATGTAGGTAAGAATAATCCAACACATATACAACACGGGAGATCAACAAATTACTACCTACACAAAATACCTGGGGATAGTAATATTCCTTGCTTTAAAATGAAAGATGTGTGCAATATATGGTCATAAATAGGGACGGATTTTAGTGAAGTTTCATATTTTTTATTTTCACTTTAGAAAAAATGGTGTTTAGTATAGAAACTTATATAATGTTATGACAAAAGAATATTACCCATTTTTATACGTAATTTGTTTGCATTTTTCGATAATTTAGAATAATAAGTCCTTTTTTAACCTTTTCTGTTATTTTTTCCTTCATAAAATTCAAGAGAATCCGTGCTAGATCTATTTTTTTTGCAAATATAACCTAGCTTATTTTACCGAAGAAATGCCACCCATGAGAAGAGTAGGTAAAATGTTGAATTATTATTAAAAATTTTGTAGATTTTAACATATAATGCATTATTGCACTTGGAATAGTCCTTGAATATCCAGAATGGCAGACCTCCTGGGCAAGGAAATGCTGATTGACTGAGAACAAGGTGGTAAAGCCGGAACAGGCAAACATGCCGGAAATTCTAGCGATTTGCTGGTTATGAGCGACATACACTGTTTACTTTTTTTAAGTCACCCCTTCCACTTGGCGTTATCAATCTGAAAGAAACAAGGTCAAGAGGGTTCTTAGGAATGGATGCACGAAATAAACAAAGTTATTATAAGATAGTTTTATGCAAATTTATTGAAGATATGGCAAATAGTTCAATAATTCTTCTCTCTCATGTCCTGCACAGTAGCCCAGAACAAATCTCGATGCTGACTCTGGAACTCTTGATTCCATTAGAACCCAACCAAGTGCATATCCATATCTTCACGGCAAACATACTCTTGGGCCAGTGTTCTGTGAAGGGTTCACCAGCTGGATTCAATATTGTTTCTGTGAACTCCAGTTACACAAACCACTAAGTGGAATGGGTGATGAACTGCACTGTGAATGAAGTTATTTTGATCCAGCTGGTTGTACCCCCTCCAGAAGTCTGCAAAAATTGTGGTGCCAGATTCCACATCCTGCATAATCAATTGCTGCAAAGTTGCAGAATCCCTTCTATTATTGGGGCACACTTCCAGGCTAATTCCCCTAGTTTCCTAATCATTGTGTCCAGAACCGAGTGTCCTTCTATCATACGACCACCATTATATTTCCAGCCAGATCTTTGTATTCATTGATTTCAATTATGCGATTTTCGCTGCCAATTCTCAAGGCAAGGTCTAAAGTTATATTGCAAAATGAAATGCCACTGGTGTTGAAATGACACCTTATTGATTTCTAGTATTAATTTTGTGATGTTTTTATATTAGATTAAAAGCATACAAAAAGAATGTCCAAGTCCCCACCAGCAGTCTGAGACGAGTCTTATGACACATTGCTTGCGCTGAACAGAGGAGCAGAAGAGGTGTAATTTCTTCCCATGCTTCACCTTCACCATGATTCCATCTGTTTCAGCTAACTAATTTGTTAAAATATAGAAATAATACTCTTGAAGATGAAAAATAGTCAGTTTTCCATGAGCAGATAAAGATACATCAAATGATTCCTTGCTTAACCTAAACAGTCACTCAGAAGGGATCTGATTGAGTTTGAGACACATGCAGGTTGACTGAATACAATGGCTTTTAAGATACAGGAGAACATGTGCACTTTAGAAATCCCCTGTTCTGTGTTAGGGGATTTCTAGAATCTGCCATCATATTTCTTAATCTTTTGGTCTTTCTCTTTTCTACAATTCGTGAAAAATTTTCTCTTCCTTTTTTATTCATATTTTCTCCTATTTTGACTTTAAAGACTATCTGATGCTAAGGCTATTGAATAATAAATTACGATATTGGCATAGGTTGTTTTCTCATTATGTAGTGTGTCTCCAATGACAGAATCTATATTAAAAGAAATTACTTCATTCAAACACAATTCCAATTGATTTTTGGAAACAAAAAAAAACTTTTCTGCAATAATTCCAAAACTAGTGTTTAATTTGGGTTCTGCGTACTAGCTTTCTTACAGCATTAGTCTGCAGTTAACCTTTGATAGATGACAAAAATGTTTTCAAAAGATCATGTACATTTAATTTTGTTGTGATTAAATTGTGTTTCTCCATTTGACTGTTGTGTATTATAAAAACACATTGAGTCTGCCCAAAAGGCGTACTGCACCAGCCCAAAATTTTTGTTAAATCAAAAAGTTTATTTTTTAATTATAATTTTTTAGCCATTAGTTCCCTTAACATAATGAGCAGAAATGCAACTAAGGTTATTTTAAATGAGAGAAATTTCTTTTCAGTACTTACGCTTAGCACGTGAATTAACTGGATATGGAGAAGTGGTGTTTCCTCACTGTACATGTGACTCTCGAAAAGAGGGCCATGTAATTGCCTCAATAGGATCTGCTCACTTCAAGCTCCAAGCGTGCAGGGAAGACGGTGCTTTAGAGGTAAGTATTTCAATTAAAATCATTTTGGGGTTTACAGTTTACAAAAGTTATTTTCACCAAGTATAAGGGAAGGGTAGACAGAGGTAGAGTGGAAATCATACTTCTTAAGAACAGGGATAAAATGTTCTTAGAAACTGTTACAGAAAGAAATTAAGAAAATATTTATAATGATTTGTGAATATTACTGGCATAGAATTACATTTCAAATGTAGAATTGTTCATTAGGAGTTGCATTTAGAATCTATAACTGCGTAAGAATTACTGTTGTTATTGAATAACAGTAACACTGAAACTGAATGGACGGATCAACAAACAAGTTTCTTGGTAGAAAGTAAAACTAAATATTTTGGTGTGTGTGGTGGTGGTGGGTGTTGTGTGTTTGTTTTTTTTTTATGCAAATGTTTGGTCAATAGATGTGATCATCAAGGTTATGAGATTTTGAGAATCATGTATCAAGTCTATCCCTGCTGATTATTATGTAATAGTGTATCTCCAGTAAAATGTTTAGTGTACTCTATTAATAAACAAATAGGTGTTCCTTTCTCTTTCTGAACCATATGATTACAACCACAATGATAACTTGCCAAACTGATTTCTTAAACAGCAGGGGAGCACTTGGACTGTGGAAGTTTATCGTGCTCTGCACTAAACTTCAGATCACTGTCTTTAAAATCAATCTTTCAGTTCCCAAAATAAAATAATTTTTCTTTGAAAACGTGTAGTGTTAGTTGTCTAGAACAGCCTCTACTAATAAGTAATTTTTATATGTATTGTACCTTTTTCTGATCCTGAATTTTTTCTTGTCTTGTTGACTTGCAGTCTCAAGTAGTAGAATTTCCATGGTCATCTATAAAGGAATGGGAGGTAGATGATGAAGCTATGGCATTTTGTTTCCAGTATCAACGTCCTGAAAAGAATCCTCGTTGGGTTAAAATATTTACTCCTTATGTAAGTATTATTAAATTATTTTGCAGAGTATGTAATATTCTGAATACATTTTTGTAATTTTATTGAATAATGTTATAAGGGAAATGGGTTTGACAATTGCCTATTCACAGTTGACTTGTTACACAAAGCAAGTAATGTTCTTCACTTGACTCAAGGTGATTTATTTTACAAATTTGTAGCAGACATCTCTCACTTTCCCTTCTCTCCACTGACTCTTTCTCCCTCTCCCTCTCTCTCTCTTTCTCTTCTCCTCTTCTTCTTTTCTTCCCTTTTCTCTCTTTTTCCTCTCTCTCTTTTCCTCTCTCTCTCTCTTTCCCCTCTCTCTTCTTTCTGGGCTCCTCTCTCTTCTTTCTCTCTCTCTCTCTCTTCTCTTTTGTCTCTCTCTTCTTCTCTTTTCTCTCCTTCTCCTCTTCCCTTCCATCTCTCTCTTTCTCTCCCTCTTCTCTCTCTCTTCTCGCCTCTCTTTCTCCTCTCCTTCTCTTTCTCCTCTCTCCTTTGCTCCCTCTCTCTTCTGCTCTCTTTTTTCCTGCTCTTCTCCTTTGCTCCTCTTTCCTCTCTTTCTCCTCTCTCTTCTCTTTCTCCCTCTCTCTCTTTCTGCTCGCCTCTTCTCTTTCCTCCTCTCTCTCTTATTCCCCCTCTCTCTTTCTCCCCTGTCTCTTCTCTTCTCTCCTCTCCTGCTTCTTCCTTCTCTTTTGCCTCCTTCTTTCTCCCTCTCACTCTCTCTCTTTCTCCTTCCTGACCAGTAATGATTGGAGAGAAGAGAGGATTGGAGAGAACTTTAATTTAGCTTAATAGTGTTTTAATGCTGTTTCTCTGTTCATTTGTTGATCTATGAATTCTTCAGGAATGTTATTTATTTATTTGAAACTTAATAAAAAGTCGGTGACATGAAATACATTGTACTGTAATCTTTCAGAAAAAATTGAATTTTATTAATGCTTTTTAAATTGTTCTTATTTTACAGTACATTTTCTTACTTGATTGCTTTGAGAGGATACTGGAAGAAAGCAAATGGTCTGACACAGGCGAGTGACACAGATTTCCAGTAACAGCAAGTGACAAGGATGCAATACTGTCTTCATAACTGGAATTTCCACTCATCCTGCTCCCAGCATAGCACTAGCACTAAGATCTCACTGGACTAGATTTTATGATATTCATTCATTCATTCACTCATTCATTCTTCACATAAGTTTCAGTCATTTTATGTATTCTCCATTTTTAGATTGTGTAATGGGAATACAGTAGGTGTTTCAAAAAAAATGACTTCAGGTCCACACCATCTGAATAGATTTGATTGCTTCCTATGAAAAACAAACTTTTCAGATTTAGTTCAATGATTAGAATAAATAAAATGAAATTCTTTTATGATATGAAATTTGGTTATGAAGTGACAAGATGAGTTTAATCTTGTATCTTAGCTAGAAGAATCCCTATTTTCATTGGTGCTCACCATACTGTTAGTACAAGCTAAAAGCTTCTGTTTAGTATGTGCAGATTCCAATTTCTTGCAAATTGCAAATTATTTGTGCCGGCCATGCACTTTCTGATACCTTTCTATTATTTCTTTAAAGCTACATAAGTTTTTAAATTTATAAAAAAGCTGTTTGTTTTTTTTTCCTTCTTGTAATTAATCAGTTTGAAGAATCTGATGTATTTGTGTGACTAAAGAAGAATGAAATTATTCATTCTATGATGACGTTTATGAACAATATGACATAAACATGTAAATTTTGTAAAATGTAATTTTAGAGAAGAGTCTGGCTACTAAATTATTCGAAGAATTTTGTCTGAATTTCTTCAAACCTTGTAAAATAATTTTCATAAGTTCCTCCCTTTAACTTATTTTTATAATAGAATTTATTTGTGGTCCTTGTAGGGCAACATCTCCACTTAAATTGTGTGAACCTATTGCTAGTGGAAATAATTTAAACTAATAGAAATATTTATTATTAAATGTGTCTTACAAGAGATTGTTGATTATTTATGTAGAAAAAGTATTATTTACTCTTTTGTTTTTGTGCTTCAACTTGCAGAATTGCATGAATCCTTTGAGGGTGGGTTGAAAAAAGAGCCGTATAATGTATCTTGTAGTAAGGTTTAAAATAGAAAATTTCTGTATTAAGGGTGGGTCCCTTGGCAGCCACCTGCTGATTAGATATGAATACTGTACACTGTTACCTTACATCTTTAAAACCTAATTGCTCAGTGAGTGGTGCCACTTATTTGAACAAATTATTCTTTATTTAATTTGTCCATAGTAAAGCTTCAAAACAGTTATTTTGTAAATGTTTTACATAGCAAATATTAGTTAATGTGTTAATTTCAATAATATTTTGAAATATTGTGTGGTGCATGGTTTCAAGTAATATCATTGATGCATTTCTCTTTGAATCACAATTCAGGAGGAGAAAGCCTAGTTGTTATGAAGAACTGGTGTTTAATGTCCAGATAAAGACAGTAATATAATACTAAAACAAATTTTCCTTTGCCAGTCTTAAGGTATGCTCAGAACAAATCAAACAGAGAAGACGAATTTTATTATGTTAATTATTTATATAAAGAAGTTCTAAAATAATGTTTATTTTAGACATTTGCATCATGAACAATGTTTTTATTATGTAGGTATTTGTATGGTTGGATTTCAACTCAGTTCTGAGTTAATCCAGAAAGATAAATAATTTTATAAAGATCAAGATTGTTGTTTTGATATTTTTAGTATTTTGTTGCTCTGTTTATTGATAATTTGTATTATTGCAAACATGACTTGACTAATATGAGTGGTATGAATTATTAAACATTCCATGTTTACAAGTTAACTTTATTCTGAGAAGAAAACTTGTCATCAACTATCTCAAAGACAGTATTATTCTTCATTTCCTCCTGCATAATTGCCTCTCAACAATTAGGGTGGCTACATGTTTTGTAAGTTAATTTGTAGTCCTGTTACTGGTTATTGGTGTTCTATGTAAATAATGTTGATAGTACAGTAATAGTTTAATGCTTGTATATACAGTTCCAAAATATTAGAAAATTGTTTGCAAAATATGTTGATATGTACACAGAGAAGTTTTGAGTTGTATTTGATAATTTTGAGTGGCACCAGTCATAAGAATATTTGTGTATTTTATAGTGCCATGCAAATGATGGAAGTAAAGTGGGTCATATTGTGGCCCAAACCTAAGATTCTTGAGGTATCATATTATTTTCTTAGTTTCTTGACTATAATTTGTTACCTCGTACCCCAAGTAAACAAAATAGCCTTTGCATTGTATTCTATTTTTGCAAGTCCCTGAAATTGAAGTGATTACCTTCATATGAATAAAATTTGTTATTGATCTTTTGAATTGATAATAGCACTGATACTAAATTAGTCATTGATTCAGTACTACATTGATTTATGAAATACTACATATGTTGTAAGTATGAACTAATTGGTATGTATAGCTTTGTATAGCATGAAATATATTTATTTTACTTGGAGACTGTTATGAATACTTCATGTAATTACAATAAAAACATGTATATTCTTTTATAAAGCATATTATGTAAATGTAATTAGAAACTCTTTTAGGAAAATATTGTTTTATTTAGAGTATGAGAATAACGGAGAGGAATAGAGATTTTTTCCAACTGTTGTAATTGTGCAGATTAATTCAATCACATTAGAAAAGTAGATCCATAGTGTTTTCTTTATAATATGAAATTAAGGAGAATTGTGTACAATAATTTCCTAGGAACACTATTGTTTGGTTGGTAATAAATTACATTCATGAAGCAGTGTCTTGTATCTGCTCAAATATTTATACATTTCCTTGTATGATAGGTTGAACAAAATTAATTTTTAATTAAAATGGCACTGTAGTGACTAGTAAAGTGGTAAGTTACAATTCAACTTACAAACAGGACTTGTCATGTTAGTCCAAACTTTGCTATCTGATCTTGGGAGATTCATGAGAATATATAATGGGATATGCATATGCTCAGAAATGCCTGGATTGCCCTAAAGACAATTGAATAACAAAACACTTCAACTGATGCCAATCTTTTCAAGTCAAAAGGCAGTTCTGTATTTATCCAACCAATTTTTTTTTTACAATGAAAGGGATGAAAAATTTCAGAAAATACAACATAAATGAATTATTTTTTAAAAAATCACTAATTATACTTGTATTCCTTTTAATTATTTAATTACACCAGTATTTTTCCATTGAATATTTTTGTCTATATAATTTTCCAACAATATATTGGAAATTTCAGGGTGAGAAATATCCTCCATGTTATGTAAAGTACTTCAGCTAAAGTACTTTCATTCATGATTTTTCACTTGATTAACTAATTTGAAAATATTAAAAAGGAGAATCCTTTTCAAGGAAGGTCAAAACCTACAAGAGGACTGTACTACATAAAGGAAGATCATTTAAGTAATTATGGAGATTTTTAGAGGGGTGGAGGGTTGTATGGCAAGAAACCAGAATCGAGAGACTGGAATCTTACTATGAGAGATGTTGCAAATTTTAAAATTAGAACAGGAAGGGGAAGGTATAACAGGATAGGAAATATGAAATAATATTAATAATTATATATATGCAGATAAAATTTAGGACCCCTGTTTTTGCATATTGTACACACAGGAGTGGCAAAGTTTAAGTTTATATTGAGGAGTACAGAAAGCAAAAATGTATGTGTTACGAGCATATTAAATTAAATAACGGTATGCAGTTGCAACTCACAACACGCCGTGACACACCACTATCGTACATTTGCAACACTGAAACAATGCGTTTAATGGCCCTAAAACCATGTTTTCGTGTCCTCTACGAGACACGAGTTTTGTGTACTTTGCCATAATCTACAAAATAATACATTTTTAGACGTTTTATTGCAAGCTTATCGTGTAAGCGAAAATAATTCACTCCATATTTGCGTCTGTGTACGTGAAAATCAAATTATCGTACGTGAAAGATATTAGTTTTACAAACGTTCGCAGTGACGCAGTGATATATACTCTCTGGTGACGCTATTGTTTCACTTAAAATTACATATAAAAAAAAGTGTACTCCAATATACTGGAGGTAGTGAAGGAAGGATTTCGCCCTTGGCGGTTGAGGTCACGAGACCAGTTTCCATTGTAGAACAGCGGGCCAGG